GTCTTAAGTAAGTTCTGTAGAGTGATTCACTTAGTTCAGAGATTTATACAGCTCCAAAAGTTCGGAGGATTAGACTTTATGGTAGGCGGCTTGACAAAATAGTAGTTTTGGGAGATTCAGACAGAAATCTGAGGTGCTGTTATGTCAATAAAATTTTAGCGTGTTGAAACATAATCAGTTACCTACTTTATTGTCGTGATTATGGAATATCCTTTTTGACAAATACGAAAGTTTGGATAAAGAGCTTTTCTTGCTTCAAATATTTATTAAGTCATCGGGTTCAAATTATTGCCAATGCATCAGCTATGATTACGTGTTTGTCCTGTGGTTACTATGGTACCTCTAATATTGCAGCAGTATTCGAAGTATTCATTTGACAACTTTTCTCCTGAATTTAATTATTTTATAAGGTTTACAGTCAGTTCAGTTTTCGTCATTTGTGGTATCAGACTTCAAATTTGAAAACTGCTCTGTGAAACTACAATCTGAAAGTTCGTCATTAATCTTATGATCATTATGAATGAAAGGACATGTTTGGATTTGTTACTCGTAGATAGCGAATCAAGCTGTGGATAAGTAGTTGAGAAAATGCTAAGTCGTTGAATATGGTTAGGTGAGATTTCACTGTTAATAATTTATCGGTACGCTCCACATCATCCTGTCATCAATCTTAAGAAACGGCAGAAGTCAACAGAGTTTTTATTGCGCCAAAGTTATTCAGGCTCTATTCCCAGCTGCCAGACTTTGAGAAGGTCAAATAATATAGTCCATCTGCCTGCTGTTCGACAATCCCGATTAAGAGACATAAAAGTGGATACTGAAAATTAAGGGATGTTCCTTTAATTAGGAATCGCACAGAGAGATAACGGAGCTTTCCGCTTGTTACGATGGGAAGACGGTGAGGTGGTGTTTGACAGTCCATCCATTAAAAGCAGTATTTTCTCCCTTTTGTGCTAACTTTGCTCTTAGGAAGACGATAATCTATCGTTTGGTAAAGAATTGATAAAGGATGTACATGAAGTTGCAGATAAAAGTATTTACGTTATTAGCTATTTAGACTTCATTGATAGTGGACATGAGGCATTTAAATTAGCAGTAACACTTAATTCAATTCTAAGAAAGGATAGCTCCAAACGTTCCTAATCGATAAGTAATCACTAACAAATCACTGAATTCATTCCATCATAAGAATGGAGGAATACTTCAAAAGCAATAGACTTTGAAAGGTTCCTAACTAAGTTTATGTAATTCTTGGTCTGGAATAATATGGATGGTTACACTATATTTGGGGTTCACATACCAAAACGGCCCGCAACTAGGGAAAGTACATTACCGAGCGTAGCTTCAATCTAGGGTTCTTTGTGCTCCTCACTGTTATCAGTGTTGGGCACATCACTGAATGACATTCATCGTAATCCCCTCCTTCTTTGTTTTGAAAGGAACTCTGATGATTTCGGACCCATGAGATTTCCACCATTTTCCTTCATTCCGTCATAGAAGCCATTGTTATCTACTAACTACTGATGGCAACAAGACTATAGCGCATCATCATTTGTCTTAATGCTCAATGAATTTCATTAGAATTCTTATAATCACATTCTTATAACACTGTCTGAGAAAATTAGCCTCCAACAGTTCGATCATATTTTCTGCAGGATTCTAACAACTTTTTTTCTTGAATTCTCCTAATTGCTCATTGTAATGCTTCACAAGTTATTTATTAAAACTCATAATGTCAGTCAGAGTCTCAGCTATTTAGTGTTTCCACTTCTATCTAGTATCACATCCGCCATATTCGTTTCTGTAGTAGCTTTTTACCTCATATCTATCTGAAATAAATTCTGGCGACTTTGTTCATGTTTTAATTTTTCTTAAATCGGTTAATTTGATGAATGTTTCTCCACTATCATCCATGGGTTCAGTGGTGTGGTTAAAAAACGAAGACCAAGAGATTAGACTTGTTTAATGATCGTGAACTGAACAGCAATTTTTCATAAAGCGTACAACATATACCAAAACTTGATACTGAACATAACAAAAGACAAGTTAGACGATATTTGAAACATTTTTTACAATTGGATGGAATCATTCAGCCCAGGAAACTTCCTATGTGTATTCATATTAATCACTTTTTCAGCCGTATACCGGGGTTTATTCACAGCGATAATTCAATTTTTGCTGTCATTTACTATCTCAAAATAAGGAAGAAACTGTAACACCAGTCTCGTTTGTAATTTTTATTTACAAGAAACTAAATTTTTACGTCATTAACCGAAAATGAACCCAAAATGCACTAATATACAGATATATTAGGTTCACTGATCTCCAGTCCAGTAATCATCGAATTGACAGTTTACGACACCATACGAGTCTAGTTATATAATCAGATATACTAACGAAGTCATGTACAAAACTAACGTTAAATCAGTCAGCAAATGCATGTACATCTTATTCTACAGGTAATCGCCGAGAAAATTTATCCGATGGGTGTTTTCATATCTTCTTTCCAAATTAGCCCTAACTTGTACTGTTATTGAAGTAAATGTGTTATGTCACGTAAACTATGCTAACAGTCACAAAGAACCCTAGATTGAAGCTACGCTCGGTAATGTACTTTCCCTAGTTGCGGGCCGTTTTGGTATGTGAACCCCAAATATAGTGTAACCATCCATATTATTCCAGACCAAGAATTACATAAACTTAGTTAGGAACCTTTCAAAGTCTATTGCTTTTGAAGTATTCCTCCATTCTTATGATGGAATGAATTCAGTGATTTGTTAGTGATTACTTGTCGATTAGGAACGTTTGGAGCTATCCTTTCTTAGAATTGAATTAAGTGTTACTGCTAATTTAAATGCCTCATGTCCACTATCAATGAAGTCTAAATAGCTAATAACGTAAATACTTTTATCTGCAACTTCATGTACATCCTTTATCAATTCTTTACCAAACGATAGATTATCGTCTTCCTAAGAGCAAAGTTAGCACAAAAGGGAGAAAATACTGCTTTTAATGGATGGACTGTCAAACACCACCTCACCGTCTTCCCATCGTAACAAGCGAAAATCTCTGTTATCTAGAACACATCAGTAGTGTCTGAAAGCCAATTAGATCTGAAATATACAGACTCGAATATGCGATGCATTTATTATCATCATTTCTATCATATAATGGCAAAAAGTAACTGCTATTTATCATTCAAAAGATTTTTCGTATTGAAATACCTATTCATACCGTTTGCGGTGCGCGTGGTCCAGCACAATTAGTTAGCTGAAATTGGTATTGGAGTAAATCCTCTGATGCAATGAGTAGAAATTTTCTTTTCAATCAACGTTTAACTAACTGTTATTGCCCAGCAAATTACGTAATTATTAATTTCAAATCAGAGGTTGTTTCTATCATATCGTCTTGTTAATGTCACACATATGGTACTGGAATTTCGCTCAGAAAACCTGGAAATCATTTTCTCGACTGTGATTGGCTTACACTAATGTTATACGTTTACCGTGCATTGTAGGGCGATCGGAAATAAGTGTAAAACAACTTATAAAGTAATTGTCAATTTATACAAGCATCACAAAATCCTTTGTGGAAAATAAAACTTAATTCATTGGTGTCCAAACTAGAGAAAAAATCGCCAAACCCCAGAGGAGATGCATTCAGTCGTTCTACCTGACAATAGTTTACATTTAATTGGTTGGTAACTAAGTCTTCTAGAAAAACCATGGAAGTGCGGAATTCTTCAACCAAATTTTCAGAGGCTTGTATTAATAAACATACCTGTTGATAGGCCCATGAAAATAACCATTACATAACAATTTTAGAACTGGTTAGAAAAGGCAAAGAAAGTGTTGAGCTTAGGATGTCACAAAATGGATAACCGTTTGATGGATCATCACTGCTCCATGGGAAAGGATTCTTAAGTTAACACAATCGGAAAACATAATTTGGTGTTATAATTGTCGAAAAATTCAATGTTTTATCTACTGAATGTTTCATAACTGCAGTCGATGTACAATGGCTGAAGGAAATGAATATCAATAACTTTACAAATTTCCGTAAATGTTTCGCAAATGGTATTTACACTAACGAGATATCATACATCCAGTTGATGTTTTATTATGGAAAGTACAAGTAGATTTTAATTTTAGCTGAACCACCTTTATTCTTTAAGCTTGACGGTAGAAAACAATTGCGGGCAATGTTTTCAAGGACTTAATTCAGTCGAATTGATTCCCGTTCTGAAAACTGACAGAATACCATGTGTAAAGTTAGTTGACATTAATGAAACAAGTAAGTGAACTTACAACTTAATGTCTATGCAGTTTACGGACAGAAATCTTTGTTCTAAATTTATTCAAATAATAATGATAATAAAAATATTTAAGTAATATATAAAGATGTAAAAAATATAAAACAAATTTGCAAACTGATCAAAATATACCTACAAAATTATTCCTCAAAAAAAAAAAATGATTATCTGAAATAAGTTAAACAAAGAAAATCAGACATACATTAACGATATGCATAGATTAAGTTATGTTGATTACATGGATGACTTTATATAAATTTGTTTGCTTTCTTCAATATGTCTACTGATTTAAATGTCAGTTAACTTTAGTCATTTGAGGCATGGTGAAACCATTAAATTAAAAGAATTAAGAAAGGTGAAGCTTTAAAGACCTTGCATGCATGGGACAGTATCTGCTTGAATAGAGTGAAAGAGGCTTTTTGTTTTACTTCAAAATGATGTTATACGGTAAAAAGAAAAGATTAGTCCACAAGAAGATACTATCAATTAGTTCGACACAATTATTAAAAAAAAAAGAAATGAAATGTATAGATGATGCTCTCATATTAATTTGCCTATCTTTCATATCTTGTTCTGTGAATTTATTCAATAGTTAGCATGTAAATAAAATTGCAAAATAATACTGAATAGTAAAATCTGTAAAGAAATCCAAATGAATTTGAACAGCTATTTAAACTGTTGTCATTGTTCAAATCTCTTTTCGCTTCAACAAAGCTTCCGGTTCAGGAAGATTACAACGGAGAACAGTGAAAGTTGTTTGATTGACACATTGTCGTAACAGAGCTAAAGCACTGGAAAAAAAACAACAAATGTTCACGATAAAAAATGAGCAACAGTTAAAAAAAAAACGAACTAAAATGTAGACTAAAATCTCACTCCTTGTAAGTTAATATCTGATTGATGTGTCCTGTCTTCGAGACTAGCTGAGTGAATCATAAGATTATGTTGTAAACTCCATAAAAGTTTAAAGAAATAATCAGTCCACTATCATCGCAATGATTTGTTGATAGGAAAGAATTGATTATTCAATAAATCCTATATCTAAACCTGGTCGAAGAGTCTATTATCATTATAAACAGTACAGATTTCCAAATGCATACATCTGAGTCAGAATTGTCAGATTATTACAAGTTACTGGCTAAATGTAATAGAGTCCGATGATTATCGATTTTACAGAGAATATTCTAGGGGATAATTCAATTTTACCACTGCATGATAAACAGTGTTTCCACTATGTGTTTGAACATAATAGCACCACGAAACTAATTACTAGAAAAAGTATCAGTTGATTTTCATGATGAAATTCAATTTCACTAAGAAAACTAATCAGTATTAGATATGATGAAATGAATTAGAGCGCATTGATTTTTGCAAAGCCTATCTGTTATGAGTTGACATTATTTCTAAACATTATCTAATCATTTCGATGTTAGATAATTGAATAGACGTAACAGACGTAACCTAGTATTAAATGAAGAAATAAATAGAAACTGTTTAAAACAAGCATAATTGCTGTTATTTTACTTTTATTATTATCATCAGTAGTATAGTTCAAAACTAATCATACAGTTTGTGATTATAATCATTCTTAAATTATTACAAAATATCAAGTTTGCCGTTTGTTGAATTTATCCAGTTGTCAGTGAAATCTACTAAATTAATTAAAGAAATGAACAAAATCCAGTCACTGTAATGATATGAACTAATTAGGTTTTAGTGTAAAGAATCATAACGATGAACTGAATTTTCAAGTTGAAATCTGTCGGATGGTTTTTGTGATGCATAGTTGATAATTAGTGAAACAATAACTAAATTATGACAGTTTACAAAACAATATGTTAGTTTTACAGGTAACACAATCCAGAATCTTATGTATTTTTTAAGCCTGAAATCTAATGACTGAATAAGTGAAAGGTTTTACCTTCCAGATATGTTATTTAAGATTTATGGTTGCATGAATAATTCACGTCTGGAACGAAGAAGAACAATAATTTGTTTCGAAACAAAACTGTTTCAAAAACTCACTCTTTATACGTCATGCTTGTTAGATCACGTCCGTTTATGGCTAAAATGCGATCGCCTAATCTAAATGTTCCATTCATTTCAGCCACACTGTTGGGAGCAACTGACTTGACGAATATACCTGGTTGATCAAGGCTGGTACGCTGTTTAACAGATTGTATTAAAAGCCGATTTTTTAATGAACAAGAAAAAAATTCAAAATTATTGGACAAATGATTTTCATTACAACAAAAATATTTGAAATTCGAGTCAATTTAGCTTTAACACATTGGACAATTGAAGATAGCCAGCTAATAACTTCATTTTATTGTACTATTCATTGTGAATCGAATTTCCGAAGACGTTTAACAGATTGATTATTACCTGTTCTGAGTGCGAACCCTAAGTGAAACGTATCGTGATGACTAATTGTAACGATTAAAAAATAATCTTGGATGACTACAATGACGGATTATTTTTCCTAAAACGGATGTTTTGAAGATGTTGAGCCTCATTACTTATTAATGTTAGGCGATCTGGTAGTATACATATATTCTAGTTAAAAGTTTGCTAAAATTTGAAAACTTTTCTCTGTCAAACTAACTAGTTAGCGATAATTAATAACAAAATCTTTCTTTGTTTGTAAAGAATAACTAAACGTTTTGACTAGTAATGCTTCTATTTTCCAAATTGAACATATGAACGTCAGAAGGTATATTCTGTCTGCAGTGTTTATTCAGTGGCTTAATATGAATGACACAGCTATAGTATCAGTTAAACTTACATATTATTTAGTAGTCTGATATTTAAAACTGTTTTATAAAGTCTCATATTCAATAATGAAACACTAATCTGAGCAAATAAAATACAAGTAATTTTGTTCTCCTAATGGATTTGCAAATCAAGAGGCTTTTATATAATCCTTACTAGTAAATTTTTACTTCAAAATTTGCTCTTCTTTGCACGCTTCGTGCAGTTGCATTTCATACCTTGAAACTTTCCCATTAATATTAACCAGCTAACCATTATATTAATGTCGTAGGTTTGTAGATCAATGATCATTTTGGTTTATTGAAATTCTCACTGTTTCCACATCTGTGAAACGTTGGAGTGTATAGGGTCCTGACAAATTAGACAAGCAAACTTAAGTAATACATGATGTTGAACATATCACTACTTTTACAAAGGCATTCCCTAAAACTGAATCAATAACCGACGACTGGTGCATGAAAGCAAACACAAAGAGAATTTATATGAAGTGTTTGCCTGCAATAAAAACGACTTTTGGATTTCAATCACTTTATAGTAACATGCTCTTGTTAACATTTACGACATATCAGATAAAGAGCATGGTAAGTTTTAAAAGGTTAGTGAAACTTTCTACTGGATCTGATAAAACTTTATCTAATAATTAATTTAAAAAATCCATCTCTATACATTGTCAAACAAACTCAATAGTACAATTTATAGCTTCTTTAAAAGAATTTTCCACTCAAAAACTAAACAGAGAAGTTATCTACGTTTTAAAAACACACTAGTTTTCTTATATCTAAATGAAATGATCATTCTTTGTTGAATTCGATGGTTCACAAATCTTCCACTTGTTCATTTCTTACATTTTTAAATGTGAAAGTTACAACTTTCATTACGGGGTTGTGAAGATTGTTAAGTTACACATTGTTGAAACCATGAATCGATCAATGTCAGACCACCATTAGAAACCTGGAAGCACTGAAAGACGGCCGTTTCGTCCTGGCATGGAACTCTTCAGCAGTGCGCATCCACGACTCCTGCACCCCGCAGGATTCGAACCCAGGACCTTCGGTATTGTGCGCGAACGCCTAACCACTGGACCACTAAGCCGGTATCTAACGGTGTTAATGTCTAACTTGATTAATTCACGGAATTGCGCAACCTCATACACAGTCTTCGGTAGTTACTGTCTACACCCGAACAGGTTGAACTTCACTGGTCAGGTCTTCCCACTAGAACTCGGAGAAGATTCCTCATGAAGCTAGTCACTAGTGAGTACAGGTAATGTAAAGTTGTAACTAGCATCCAAATATATAACGACTGCATAATAATGAGAAAATGTTGTATTAAAAAAAAACAATTAAATAATAATGGTAGATTAGAATTTCCATTAGTCATTTAATATCATTCCTAAACATGAATACTGGAATTTCCAATTGAATATGCACGTTAATTACAGAGTCTAATCAAACATTGTTTAAAAGTACAATCATTGGAGAAAACTGGTGGGCGGCCTATGCTCCATTGGGGGTAACAGGTGCAAGGAAGTAAGTAAGTACTAAACCAAAAAAAAAACATTAATCGTCATAGAAATGAAAACATTTATCATAGGCTTGTAATGGAGTATTATTTACGCATGGATGTTACTTTATTTTGATTTCAATTTAAGTGTAATTAAATTTTTAAACTAACGTGATGCATACAATACTTAAGATAAAAAGAATATATCATGAAGAAGTGTGTGTTGTTTTACATAGAAATTACTTACCTCACCATCAACTAGTACTAAACCGAAACCAGAATTTGGTTCTTTGCAAAGTGTTACGTTAGAAATAGCACTTCCTAAACTACTACGCGTCAATACATCACTCAGTACTCGTTCTGGATTCATATCCAATAAATTAACGGAACTCATAGCATCAGAGTCTGTATCTCTGCCTCGATCTAATTCACTAACAATTTCGGATATATTATCTGTTGCCTCATGAATAACCATATCGGGAATTTTATACTGATTTGTTGGCAAATTCGACATGCTACTGCTCACATTACGATTAGGTATTAATCTCGGAGTAACTGATCTAGATCCTGCTTTCGAAGTTCTGATTTTGTCTAATCCTTGACCAAGTAATGACATTCGATATTGCTTCCAATCATTGGCTGTTTCATTCAGCTGATCTACATTCAGACGACTTAGCGATGGAGCGTTTGAAGGGGGTCTGAAACCATTGCTAAAATCTCCTAAGCTTTGTGATAAACCATTTTGAACTTGAAGGCGTGGATCGAGATACCAAGGATTTACTGGAGTTTCAGTCCTGTTAGTCTCTAACATTTGATTTGACCATTGAGGACTGATAACTTTTCGGTTGAACACTTGACTGTGGTAAATATTTTCTTGTTGATAGTAATTAGCTTTACTTCTGATTTCAGGATTATTCAAATATTTCGAATCAGGGGATAAAAGATCTTGATCACCGTTAGCATTTGCAATTAAATCTATGCCACCAATTGAAGCAGCCAAGCCTTTGAGATAGTATAATGCCTTTTGAGTACTATTCATACTAGCAATTTGTGGGTTTCCCGTTCCTGAAGACTAAAAATTTCAGAAAATATGGTGTGTTAGTATACAAAATTAAATCATCATAATGGTTGCAATATTAATATAATTTTATTTTTAAACTTAAATGATCTTGATAAACTTCAATGATATATGTAAATATATTAGTTCAGTTTGAAGTTGGTTTTTCATCAGGAAATGATACGAACTAGGAGGAACCATTTAAAATCAGGACAGTAACCGTTTCTACCAAGTTTGCGACTTCCAATCAGTGTCCACATGCAACCTTGAATCAATGATTCAGTAAAAATACAGGGTTCGACCAGGCTACTGATGCGGTGAAAATTAACTTCATACTAAAAAGCCTGTATTCTCGTGCTAGGAAATAATAAAAACTTAAAATTTTTTTTCATAGGAAAATGGGACTTGATACTGTTGAATCAGTTGAACAGTGAATGGTCTATTATCTTCAATGGAAATGATATGTTCTTAAAGTCCAAGCAATGCAAAAAAGGATTTTTGACATTGCATTGCTTTTATGCAAATAACTTCTCTCAAAGAATAGTTAAGCTAAGTGAGTAAATATCTGTGGTTCAACCAACTACAAAATCTACTTACTACCATGCCTTTTGCTAAAAAGATATTTCAGTATGTATAATTCTAGAAGAGAGAGAGAGAGAGGTAATGGAAATGCGTGATTGATAATGCTCCGGATAGGTAAATAAAATACCAGAATAAGTCATTAAAAATCAGATGATATAACATTGGCACAAACGATAACAGTTCTGAAAATGGTTGGGTTGTTCACACGCCCTATACAAATATCAATAAATAAGATAGTTTGCAACATTTTTCTGCTGATGAATGGCGGATCAAAAACACAAAATAAAATAACGCACACACTGATACTCATGGCACCTCTTAATAATTAACTGACAACGTCAATTACTGTTGCTAATTTATATTACATATGTATAGTGATAAATCTCTGACATTATTTCAAGAGAATAAATTAAATCAAATGAATAAAGCTATTTCTTGAATATATTAACTAATATAAGTGTATTTTCAGGGGTGTGCAATAGATAAAAAAGAGAGGCCTAACTCGGTGAGCTTCACTGACTCTTATCTTCCAACACATGCAAAGTAGAATAAACATAGCCGAAAACAGTCTTGTGTATTGCACGATCATTGCCTAAAAGTATTGCGACTTAAGGTTTTATCAAATTATCACCTTGATGTTGAACAGAAAATAATAATAATCAGCCTGTCGAAATCGGTTGATGATTGCTAATCTTTGTGTAAGAAAAATGAAATTGGTTAACGCATTCAGTTCAAGTATTGAAATTTATAATTCAAGTAAGTCTGAATTAAATTTCCGCCTAAAAATACCACTACTGTACAATAAAAATAATTTGAAAAAAAATACTTCAAGAACACTGAATTTACATGATTTCCACACCATACTGGTTCACCACTCGATGGTTTCGGTTTCATATCATTGGAAAATTTCGATGTTTGTTCGATTGATCTCAGTGAGTTGTCAAATTGACTTGTTTGTGTTTTATTTGGTAAAGATAAAAATTCTGAATTTTCTAGGCCAGTACTTTGATTCATGACTGAAGGCGATGTACTCATTCGACCATTACTAGATCTTATTGGTAATCGTTTGCGATTTGCGACTGCCAACTTATTTCGTATAGTTGATCGAGTTAAGTTATGATTACGATTTACATGAATTTGTGGAATAACTCGTGGCGGAGGGAATTCACGCATCAGTTCTTGCCATCGAAAGTAAATCACTGGTGATTGGATAGCTGAATCATTCAACAATGAATAATTATTTTTGTTATTATATAGACTGATGAAAAAATTTAGTTTATTAACGTTTCAACAAGATAAAACATCAAAAAGGAAATGAGTCTGAGAAAAAGAAAATGACAGTCACTCACATTTAAACAAAGTTTTTAATTACACAAAACAGATCATGAAATTAATCTGCCATGAATATCGGTAACGTAAAATCTTTAATACGCAATGTGAATCATGAGATAGTGGATTTGTTGGTTTGAAGTTACCGCGTTCATTATAAACTATGTGGGAAACCTAATACAGGATTGTATGTGCAACATACATCTATAAAAAGTCCTAAACTAGGACAAAGCATTATCTGTTAAGTTGAAAATTTTCGAAGAAAAGAGACAATTTTCGAACATTCGTATATCTTCCTTGAATAGTATGCTTAATGTCCACGGTAAAGTTTTGAAGGTGATATTTTTGATGAAAACACAAATATTTGTTTGGAAATTCAAATTTCATTTGGTGTCAGTTAAAATAAATGAAGTCTCAGATGATACATTCAAAAATTTATTATCAGGTAGTATCAATAGGATCCAACTTATTGTTCAAGCCCTATTCCATTACTTGAGCTTCAGCTTTCTGAATACAAAATATTTTTCTATAAATGACTAAGAAATCTGATGATAAGTGAGAAAAGTATTTAGAGATGCCATACACGTAAGGACGTACCAGCTAATTTTCCATCCAACTGATTAATACACTGTTGCATAGGGCTTTGATTACATAAACCATACGGATCCATAGGTCTGTAAACTGGTGATTGATTAGCACATGTTTTTCCAGGAGATAAGCGTTCTTTAGATTTCCATCCTTTTAGTGCTATTTCAATCAAGTCGGCAGCTTAAAAGCAAATAAAGCATACGCAACGTAAAAACGAACTCACTAATTAATGACAAAAAACATATAAATATAAAGTGTATTCTTATTTCAAATGCTCACATTTGAGTCAAAATATTGTTTGTCCGTTGAATTCAGTGTCTTCTTCTAATTAAAATCAATTTTAATTTCACTGAACAGTGATGGCTTAAACACTCGTTTTGCTACCTGCAAGAGGTAACCTATTCATCGTTTGAGCTCAAGATAATCAAAATCTGGGACCAAATGAAACTGATTGTAAACGCTACTATTTTAAAAATACGATAATTTCAACGACATTCAATTAATGGTAACACTAATGAAAACCAAAAGTCTGAAGAATAGCTACGTCCTCTTTAAATGTTAACACACACAAATAACAGTCTAATTTAGTTTAAAAAAACATCATCAACCTTATTTAGTTAGCTTGAAGAATAGTAAAAATATTGTTCACTTCAAGTTGTTTTGAATTTCTTTCGATAAAAGTATTCTTATGAAAAAAACGCTATCCATTACTGGCTTTCATGTTTTGAAAACAGGGGATTCAGGGAGGAAATTGTTTTGAGCTCATACCTTTTCCGATCCTTCACAATAATATAGGTAGGTGGTAAGTTCTGAACAAAATGTTTATTTGTGATACAGACGTTTGAAATAGCTGTCTTACTCGAGATCTAGCTGAATTTCACCAATTAGGACTTCTGACCAGAAGTTAGGGATATAAACCAAGGAATTACAAGTTAGTAGCCTAAAAATCACTACCTCATATGTTCCAAGCATCTTAAGTCTAATCCGTAGAGAGGTAGTGGTTGCTAGCTGTTAAGAAGACCTAAATGAGAACAAAACCGACTACCAATGTTACTTGGTTTTCAATGGTATTTTGATCTATATCAGTCTGTGATAGAAGCAATTTACATGTTAATTTAATCTGTGTAAATTTTTTTAACTACGAATCCTACTTTAACAGGGCATCCATAATCAGAAATCGATTACAGTGCTTTAAGTAAGTTTATAGAGAAGACAGAATTCACAGAACTATCTTGATTTATCCTCATTAGAGAAAGCCGATTAAAATTTACTGTCATTAATGGAAGGCTGAAAATGAAGGACATATGATAAAGCATTATTAAAAACCCTAAGAAAAAAATTTAATAATAGCAAGATAAACTAAAAATAAATTTATAAGAATGGAGCAGTAAAATATGAGGAATGTGACGAACCGTCCCTGGACGTTTGGAGGTTTTCCAATGTAAGGTCGGTTAAAACACAAAATTATTCGAATCTATATTTTCTAGGACTATAAGTACTAACATTTAAAGGAAATGACCAATGGGAGACACTAAAGCTAATTAAGTGTTTGGTACGTACTTGGTACTTAAACTAACACTGTCATTTTAGTATACAATAAATGTAATTGTCAAAAATTCTATAGAATATCGAAGGGCAAAGTGATTAATTAATTATCTTAAATGATCTAATGTTATTGAAACATTTACATAAAATTAAAAGTCAAGCGCGTTATATCAAGTGTTAAAATTTTTATGTTAGAGATATTTTTTTTACAAACAAACGGCTTACGATCTTCATCTACAACTGCTGCATCCTTTTCATCAATACTCCAGTTGTTTGTATTCTGTGCACCATATCCTTCTTCATATTCTTCCAATAAATATCGTAACAAAGCTGGTGGAATGTTTGGATGAGTTTCTCTCATTTCATTCCAAGACATCTGAAATATCAGAAAGATATCACACCTGTTTTTTTTCGCATTTTTACCTGAAGGGCATATTTGCAGTAAACAAAAATTTAAACTTAGCTAGGAAAAACCTGATGATGGCATTTTTAATTGTCATTATTACTTCAAATACAATACACATCTCCCTGGTTCATTTTCAGTCAAATCTTTTCTCTATTTGTAGGGCTGGGAATTTAGAATTACAAAATAATCGTATAATAAATTTAAATTCTGCACGGAAGCGGAAGATTATCTGTTTTTAATATGAAATACAGTTGAATGCCACAATATTCAGTGGTCAGTAGTTAGAAGACGAAAGCAAGAAGAACAGTCGAATTTCTTGGAAAGTTATTTACAGACTTCCAGCTTAGACTACTCAGTAACGCTCATTCAGAGTGCGGTTGACTGACTGACTTGTACAGAAGGCTGAAACACCAGAGTTTGATTAAAATGGATAGCAACTAATTTGTTTTCTTTTAAAAATCCATATTCAGAAAATCATCGCCCACTGACACTAGTTAAGCAGACGCTGTATTGAGGAAGCTTCAGTAAGCTACTACTTGCTAGATTTTTTTCTAGTAAATCTTAGTCGTATCTTATCCCAAATTTTTATACCTTATTAAACAATACGTTATCTTGGAGTGTATGACTGTTGGCATACACACTTGTATTCCCCAACTTTTATCAGCTCTCAATCTAGCTCAATGCTATCCCAATTGACTGAAATTGCAATGTCAAAGTGATGACAACACTGAACAAACCTTAAACAAAAACTAATCAGTTTGAAATTCGCTTTTTGTAATTTGTTTGTCTACATACAGTTCATCCGCAGAATATCGGCTGAATTCGGGCTATTATTCTACAATACATAATCTGTTTAAGAACCTAGCGGTACTTCAAACAATCCCTAATCATGCTTCAAAGTTATTTGATGTACCAAATAGTGGGAAGACAAAGATTTAGATAAAGAGAAACGCATACATTTCACAGATTTTAGATTACAACACGTCGACAACTGTCGCAAGACATTAAATATCTGACACGCAAGATCTTGATTTAAAAAAAAATTCATTCGTAATCACAACCACATCAGTAAGCTGAATTAACCATTTCATGAAGAAGTTTTTCTCGATTTCTCAGTTCACATAAATCAGCATGTAAACTTTTCTGTTGATGCAGTAAATTAAGCATATTCACCTCATAAATCGTGTGTTGTCATGTATATGAATGAATAGAACCTTTTTTACCAAAAATATTTTCATGCCAAATTAACATATTAGTTCAATATTATCTCAATCGATAAACAGCATAGTCATTTTTAATAAAATATCTATTGATCAACGAGAAAAAGATGTTTTGCTTGAATTTTCTCACCTGCATGTATAATTATTATATAGATACACCTAAAATATGCACACATGCATTCACATATACTAAAGACAAATAATCTAATGCTAAGGTCATGGGTTCAATGAATGAATGGATACGCATGCAAGTTAGAAAGAAATGCTTCACATCACCATCCAATATGGATGATATACAACTTAGTAAAACAAAACTCTTGTTAGTGTGAAGTTATTGATTTTTAAGAAAAAAAATGGAACAATTACACTGAAATTATTCATAGACAAGTGTGTGTGTGTGTGTGTGTGTGTAGTACCCATAAAGATCGATTCTTTTACAGAAGTAGGTATCTACAAATAAAATGAACAATGTTTGATTTTGCAACTTCACAGTTAGCTTAATCCACTCACTGTTTTCAAGTAGCTAAAATAATGTTTACTCATTATTCTTAAGTAAACAATGTGAAAAGTATTATTTGTAGTATATGCATAAAATATTTACTTGTGCAAATCAATTGTGTCGATATTTCATACTCAGTAATTATTAAATGCTATTAATCTATTAAGCAAGAGAGTATTATATCAATCTAGAACGAAGCTCTGCAAATGGGTACATGAACTGGAAAAAGAATTATTGCAATAACATTTTAATTTATTAGAAATGTATAAACTTCTCAAACGTTTCATGATTATGAGCTTCGCTTGTTTATGCTTTGTATAATTAATTTTTTTTAAAAAAAAGTATATGCATACGGCTGAAGAGAATCTATGAAATAAAGTGTTTGTTGGAGTTTTCCCCCGTCAAGTTTTGTTCTTGAGCCTTAGTCGAATTTCTTAAAATGCGACTCAATCTAATTAAATTTTTTCTTAACAAAACTGCAATCTATGTAATCTATTTATAGAAGAGCTAATCTAAAATCAATTAAAATGCAGTTAATAATTTCGATTTTTTTTAATGAAATATATGACGTTACATATCATTTTGAAGAAAAAATTAATCCACCTACATGTCACTGTGTTTTGATCGGACTGCTTAATCTACTTAATTAGAGTTAATCGTAAAATGTGAAAAATTTCAAAATCTTTACCAGTGAAGATTGCTGACAGATATAATATGAGGAATTTGAAAAAAAACAAAGCATCACATACAAGCATACTTGTAGTCTTTACTGAATTATTTGTAAACCTGATGCTATTTATTCGAAAAATCTCAAATGATCTAAGTCAAGCTACACAACACTTGAAACTATCCATCACTTCACTGAATGAATATATTATTAGTCTAGTGCTCAACTCCAGAAATTACAAATGGTGTTGTTTTTGTTCTTTCAGAGCTGTAACTAGATGAGATATTACTTGAACTAATCGATAATTTCTACATCACCAATAGTTCGTAGTCTTTAGTTCATGCTATTATGCTGTAATAAAATCATGAAACACTTAAAAACAAAGTGTAATTTTATTGACAGATAAATAAATAAGTGTTTAAAAACAATAGTGAAATAGGTTTAAGGGTGTCCAATTGAAAATATTTAGTTTGTTGAGTAAAATGTTATCTTATTTCACAATAATTTAGTTCACTAACAATAAAATTGTTGTAACTAATATATTATAGTTAGCTATTATTACGTCAAAAGTTGCATTTTCCACTTTTACAGTCTGAATAAAATTAATTCATATTGGAAGTATTTATATAATATTTAGCGTAATAACTTGTTTTAATTGACAAAATTTAAATTGAATCATGATACTCCACAGTTTGTTGTTGAAAAGAAAAGTAAAAGTGTAATTATACAGCTAATTGAGCATAGACTGTAAATCACTTACAAACAGATAACTAATGAAGATTGCTTTGAAACCGAATAATAACTAACTAATTGAAATTCAGTTGGTTAATTTAGATTGTTATGGTTATATTTAAAATTGAATTTCAAAAAAAATATTTCAGGAACTCTAAGTTTTAAGTATAAATAAAGAAAGAAAATTAAAATGAACAAGGTTTTGAATGAATTTTCGATTACGCAAAATTGTTTAAGATTTAAATAGTGTACTAACAGTACGCTAGTGTACAATTTACAAAACTCTGGCAGAAATGAATATAAGACGATTCTGACTAGATGATTTAAGAAAATGTTCAAATTTATGTGATTTATTTTTATTCAAGGGAATCATATGTTGACATTAAAAATAGCAATCTTCTGTAAAAAAATCTGTCACTTAGTCAAAGACAAAACATTGCAACCATGCAATTGATAAGCAGTTTTGATCTTGAGTACAAACTATTTCAGTCCAGTCAATTAAAAAAAAATGTTGGACAGGGTTAGATAACATAACCACTAACTGCCTGGACGAATTATGTTTTGTGGTGTAGGTATAGGTTGGAAGAAAGCTAGGGGCGGCCAAATCAAAACAAGGAACAAATCCATGAAGTCACTGACAAGTGGACTGAGTCATGTTGGCAGATATAGGCTACGTGGTTGGGGTCCGCGAGACGATAGTAACCGATGCTTAGGATACCTTGAACGACATGGCTAAAAATCGTTTTCAAAAGCGCAGGTTCTTCCGCTCTTTGTGTTTTCTCAAATTCTAACCTTCTAAATTCCTCATCATCTTTATCTTTCTCTTTCTAACTTTATCTTATTGAATTAAACTTCTTGAATCCTATCTTCAAACTCTAATACTCCTACCACCATGAACTGACAGTTGTGTCTTTGTGCTGATGCGTTATGGCAACCTGAACTTATGTATTCATATATGAAGTTCTATGTTGTAGGGTCAGAAAACTGGCAAATTATTTATTTTTTTTGCATTCCAAAAATTTCATCTTCACATTAGTAACTCTAGCGATCTTTATTAAAATAAGTCACTTGTTATAAGTGTATAATATAACATCATTGACATGAAATTATTGGGGGAGGGATTTTCGAACATAAAGTAATGTACAGCTGATTGCATAAACAATGTATCAGTTACAATGTTTATCAACCAATTTAAAATCTCTCTTTTCTCAACCAATTTCGTCCTGTTACAAACTTATGAACGACTTTTCACAGTTTACAAGAATATGATGATAGTATGACAAGTGTTTTCGATTGAACTTTTACTTTGCAAACTGTTTTATTTACATATTTCATTTATGTAATCAACTAAAAATTAAGACGTTCAATCCTTCCTTCATATAACTAACTCTTTACTATCCATCAACAGTATTGTTGGGTAATTTGAAATTAGCAGTAAACATTACTAAAACGTTCCAAAGAGAAACCCAATTCATGTTCAATAAAATATGGATGATTCTAAAAGTGTCAAGCAAACACTTAAATCACACTAGTGAGGCGTTTTATGTAATGAAGAATAACTGTTTTTCTTTTGACAGTATTTCAAATAATTGAATGCAATATTTTGATAAAACAATGTGTGATCATTTATACAATAATAACTAGCGCCTACAATTATTATCTAGCACTTTTTAGTTCTTAATCATTCACAACAATATTTCAATTTATAAAGAAATGCACTTTAATTTAATATATCCGATTATAACTGATCAGTTTACTAAACAATTCAGAGCAACTAAGGTGCTTTGTATGATATGATGACGATTTATGAAAATTTAAATATTGAACACTAAGCATTGCACTGACCAAACCTTTCAATTCAGTCTAAATAAAATAGTGTTATTAACAATCAGTGATCCTTAAAAACATTTAGAAATATTACCTAGATATACAAAATTTCTGTCTATTTTAAATACCTAAAGGCACATAGATTGATATAGTTTAGCTACAGTGAAATGACGACAGTTATCAGTTGAAAAGTGGAAAATGTAAAATTTCACATTCACAGACAGATATCTCTAGAGTCTATTATTTTCTGTTACTTTTTCAAGCAAAGTTCATTTATGCAAAAACGATTGTGAATAAGAGAATATTTTTATACAGTCGAATAGCTCGTGCAAAGATTTATTGTAGATCTGTTAATTCTTAGGTGAACACTTTTGTATCAATAATTCTGGCTATGACGAAAAGAAAAAAGTGTTAATTCATCATTTTGTTTTGAGAATTCTGAAACATTTTACTAAAAATGAAATCAGCAAACTGTTCTTAGTGTTCTTTTCAAACAATCTAAACACAATCAGAATCATCATAAAATACAAACAATACTAAGTAGACAAATGCAAAAACTAACCATTAGAAGTTGTTTTCTCGGTGTCGCTAATAAATTTGCAACTTGAAATATAATATTCAACGGACGTTTATGTTTATCCAGTCTACGAACTCTTAACCAATTGTCTAACCAGTTGATCCCATTCAGTAAGTTTGTTCCGGTTTCATAATCAATTTTAACGCTACCTGAAAATAAATCCGGAAAATTAAATCATGAAACAATGTGTTGTGATCTAATGTATAAAATTTGCGACAAGTGATCAATATAGAATTTTTAAAAAGTCTTTTTTTTGTTTGGTCTATGTAAAAACATTTTAGCTGCTCTCCATTTGTCTAATTAGTAATCTTTTATTTACACTATATTGTAGATAGATTAAACTTGGTAATGTGGAGTAACTAGTTCTAACTCAGCTATGCAATTTTCAAGCGCTAGTTGGCATACATGAATGTCGTGGCATCGAAACTACACAGTCTTGCGATCGCATTACTGCCAATAAATCCCACATCAGAGCAAAACAACAGTCTCAACCTGCTTGATACACAATAACACCTTCATTTTATGTAAAATGGATATAGTCTTCACTAAATCTTTCTATTTGTCGAGGCCCAATTTCCAGACAATATCATCAAATTTTTGCGTCTGTCCAACCCTGATGATTTATTACCCAAAAGTAAATAACTACTGATTTTAAAAACAGTTGTAAAATGCATTTTATTTAGACTTGTTCATGTGTTCCGCGATTCACAAATCTAATCGTGTTTACAACTGTATCATAGTAGAACGAATAAAATTGAGAAATACATATACAACTATTCATAGATTCTATACAGCTATTGAAAACTCAAAATAATTTTTACAATATTTGTAAGTTTTGAACTAAATAACAGTACAAAGCAACACAAAAACTGTTAAACAGGTTTCCGTTTCTAGAGCCATGGAAGTTCGCATGAGAGATTATTTGACTTACATAAAAAAAAGATACAAATTAACAAAATGGGTAGGATGATACAATCTAGCATAAATTAAGCCTACTACTAGTGGTGACTCTGTAAGCTAATAAAGATAGAACAACATTGTAAACTGAATCAATTGACAATAAATATCTTGTGGTAACGTTCAAACCAAACGACTGGATTCATGACAAATATGATGTTAACAATATATACTGACTGAATGCGAAATTTATTTGGATGCAAACAATCATTACGAAATCTATATACACATAATTTCGAGATAATTGAAATGATAAATGGAACTCATTTTAAAGTGAACTAATTATTTTTTATTTTAATGAAATTCATTAATAACGAAACACTTGAAGGTCAAGTAGTGATTTTTCTGACTTGTAATCACTATCGATTTATATCATATAGCGCAAATCAAATATTTTGAAAATTCCCGACACTTGTGTCATAATAAAATACGCAAATCTTTTCTATATTGAAATAATAAACACTAATATCGAATCAAACTCAACTTCTGGCATAGATGAGCTTTGTTGATAGGTTTTAATCGATAAATGAACTGAATTATTACCAATAATAGGATTATACAATACGTATGATCTCATAATTAGGCACTTTCGAAAGAGACATGTTCACAACATGACTATTTTCAATGTCAAATACATTAATCTCTTTTTATTGTAGAGAAATAATTAGTGTAAATACGATTTGCTTGTAATATATCATGCCTACGCTTAGTTAGCAACATTTGACTGATTTTGTTGTTGACGTAAGACAAACCTGTATGTTGTTTTACTGGAATCTATGTTGATTTGCGTTGGTTATACAAACCATATGACCAACGTTACGTTGCTTACTGTTCACTTCAGTTTTTTTTATAATTTGGTTCATTGATCAGGTTTATATGTATAGTTTGTAAGCTGCAATAGTAAATTAACTGATTTTTGGTGTAAATTACTCTGCATAAATATTATATGAGAATATAAATTTGAGTGACTGCATTAGAAATTTTTTAGTGAATAATATATCTCTATTTGGTCTTTATTCTTGAAATTGTTTCGTAAAGAGTTGTTTATTCAACCTACAATATAGCATCTACTCATTGCTATATATATGTACGTATACTTATTGTTTCCAGAAAATTTAGTCTTAGACTGTATTCGAATGGGTAATGTTAAAATTGAAGTCGACTGTAAATAATTTACTTAAATGATATGATACTAAGAAACTCAAGACTGTTGACTGTTCAAACTCTAGTTCAAGCGAATAATAGACTTTTCAAGTGATTTACCGTTGAATATGTAGTTTAAAAGAACCGAAAAAGCTGAGAACACTCGTAAATGCATACAATATAAAAAGACAGGTGATACGATACAAAATACGATCACAATGGCATAGTCGCTTCCATCCATTATATTCCTCTCCATCTTGAATTAAGTGTCATTCCTAATTTTCTATACTCCTATCACTCTTTTTTTCTATTGCAATTTACTTGACTTGCTCAGATTTTCATTACACTCGGAATGGTTTCCTTTCATTTGCTTCGCAAACTGCTTGATCTTTTGGTGGGTTAGCTAACTTGATATGAAACAACTTTGACTGATACACAGAAGTGTCACTTACCACAAGAGTTAAAATTGACCAATTTAATGACTATGTTACTAAAAGGTTTGACAAAGATCAATTAGGGTAAGAATAGTACATATCACCTCAGAGCATGTTTGCATTAGTTAGTGATGCAAATAAACCACAATATTTTAATGTTTTTGCTATTATCCCTGGGATGGCAAATAACTAATAGGTGATTACTTGAAAGAATACGGATTGTGCATAATATGTGAAATAAAATCAGAGAGACTACTTAAAAATAGAAATGTTATCAGCTTTCTATAAGCCAATGACGCGTGATAAGAAGTAGTACTACAAGTTCAATAGTATGAAGGCAATTTCTCGCTAATTATCTCAACGTGAGAATAAGTAGTATAAGTAATCATATGTGCATGAAACTATTCATAAGGAATCATAATTTTTAAAAATATTATTTATCAGTTGATTTATTCTATTCTCAAACTGCTATCAAAGTCCTGTTGGAAAAAAACAAAACAGCATGACTCATTGGAATGTGAAAACTCTCAATATCTTTTGTCATATACAAATATTTTTGAAAAATACAAAAACTCCAATATTTACCAGCTTACCTGCGAAAAGTATGGCATTTAATATTTCATAAGAAATATTAGCTAATAATTGACGCCAAAATACCGCCTCTAGACGATTCATTGTTGAATTCATTGAATGCTGTGCAAAGCTATTATCTACAGATTGTAGTGTATTTTGTTTTGAACAATCTGTTGAGAATACATCATCATCTTGTACATTGAGATTTCTTACATGTGTTGGTTTATTATTCCCTGAGTAATAGTCATTATCCATATCTGATTCACCACCTGACATACTTAAATCACTAGTTTCTGACTTTTTTTGAAAATGCTGTAAATTCGTCATTAATTGATTGGATTGTTGATAAGGATGATGATATTGTAGTTGTTTGCTAGATGCTCTGTTAGTTGCTAATGGACCATTTTGGCCTTTATTGCTCGCAAATGAATGTAGTGAACCAGAAGTCAGAGACAAGTTTTCATTATCATTTAATACAAAGATTGGTGTGCCAGCTGGATAGAAAGCTACATCGAAACATGAAGCTAATCGATCCAACCATTTGGATAATTCAGATCGACTACTCATCCATTCAGATGATGATGTAAATTGAGTTCTCTCAGATTGTGAATGAAGCGGTGAATCGTGTGCAGAAGACTGATACAGAGCAGAAATGTATGGTGAAATAGACTGGAAAAAAGTTAAACAAAAATGTGACTCTTCTAGAGAATGAAAAAAAGTGAGAAACACAATGAAACAATGATAATTACCAGTGTTTGGTATATACGTTAGTTCAAAACAAAGACAAATTTGTTCTTTTATTGTGACAAACGAAAATAATCACATTTTCGAAAATATTAAATCAACAGTGATTGATTACAAATTAAACATAGTGGTCTGGTATGAGTGTATGAACATAAAAATCTCAATCAATTTCTTCGAGAATCATCCATTAATATAGAAAATAGCAGTGGAAATTAGTTAATACTCATCACAGTGATTCAGATAAATTACAGGTGTAACGATAAAACATTCTTACTGTAAATTTTATCAGATGAAAAAGGTTTATTCAACTGTGGTGTAATTTTCGATGGGTTATTTCAGTGTTATAGAAAAACTGTCGATGGATAATTTTAAAAAAATAAGAGAAATGTAAAATTTAAAGTGAATATCATTGATAAAGTTGTAAATAATTCCTATTATGTGTGTAGCTATACTGAAAAATTTACAATATTTAGCGGACAATGGAAAGTGTTTAAGGTTTTCTTATGATTTTTCTGATTGATCAACTAACTCTTACATTATCATCTATCAATGAGATTGAAATGTTGGCAATACGCAAAATATATTAGTGATGATTGATCGTCCGCACACTCTAGTTTGTCAATATCCACACATATCTCAATGGGGATCATCTTGAAAATTCGAGTCTGAAATTGAATTGAAACTTTAATTACATCACATTTTGCTATCAAGAAATTTCTTCCTGAATATGTGTAAAACACATTTGTTATTCAGATTATTTACATTAAAATTTTATGAATTTTATTGATTATGTTTTAACAACAAATATTTATTATAAAATTTCTTTTTATAGAAATTCTTTCATACCTCATCTGAATGAAATAAATAGTTTACATAACCGAGGAAAGTCGAATGATATTACAAATGATATGTTGTATAATTTTATTTCGAAGTACTGTTATCAACTAAGTCGAAGACATTTTAAAACTGGCTTATATGAGTCTGATTCAGTCATTTTTCATTTTAGGGTTGTGGATATTGTTGAGTTTCACTGAAATCACGAATCCATCAGTGTGAGGTCACCATTCGAAACCTAGAAGCACTGGAAGGCCGTTTCGTCCTCGTATAGGACTCATCAGCGGTACGCATCCATGAATCCCAAACGACAGAATGTAAATATTAACTAATTCATGTGGAAGTTAAAATTTACAAAAAAATGTAACTGATTACGTACACTGAATAGTTCGATGAATTATTAAACTACTGAAAGACACTATAATGACGAATCGAAAAATACAATACAGAATGAGTTAAGTATTAGAGTTAGGATCTATTTTATCATAGGTTATTCTTCGCTAATTAGAAAATGAGTCATCAGATACATAGATTATCAAATTTTATGTTTTGACATACGAAACCGACTGAATAGGGAGATAGATTTTAAGAAGTTAAAGGCAGCAGGGCAACGATATGACGTTGTTTTCAATAGTCACTAGTTATTATTCTCCTTCAAATAAGGTGTTATTTTTTGTGGCAAGTTATCCAGAAACAAATGTCTATGGAACTTTAATTTCACATCTCATAAAAGATTGCAGAGGCTCAGACACTTTCAATTTTCACTCTCTAAAATCGTAGAAGGCTTTCACTGTATCTCATTTATCTATTCACCTCTTGAAGAGTATCCTGCTTATTTATTTGTTTTCCATACCAATGTTGTTGTGAAGTTTAATGATGTGAAGATTTGTACTTCTCAGCATACTTTTACATTATGTCTGTCACTCATTTAGACAGATATTCTGGTAGGTTATTTTTGTATTACTTATCTTTAATTCTGAATTATTATTATTATTATTATTATTATTATTATTATTATTATCAGTTAAGTTATTATATGTAATTCAATACATTGAACACATAAATAAACTGGAATGTCAATCAGCCTATCTCATATCTAATATCCGTTTTATAGCGTTATTTAGGAAAGTGATTTTTCTCTTCATTATCACCATAATGTAAGTAATAATGGATGTTTTGAATAGATAAATAAAGTATGATAATGTCCATTTTTTTATAATTACGTTACAGCAACTCACACCTTCACATTCAAACGTTACTGTTCTAAACAGTTTTGGAAAAAAAAAACATTGCAATACTACTACTCAATGAATGGCAATTTTTAATTGGCTTAGAGAAATTCTTGAATGTACGCACTGTAGTTTGTTGTCGATAATTTCTTTGAGTCTCACGTTGAATTACGGAAGTAGTTTATAGTGTAAACTACTTAGGAATCTATATATTATCCAACGTTTAAGCAGTGTGACCATAAGATAATTAGATAATCACTTTAATTGCACCAGACTAAATATACTAGAAGTGATTTTATATAATGATCGAAAGTGTTTTTATAACAAGTAAAACGTTGAAAGATAACAATATAAAATGTCGGTTTTCTAATTAAATGTTTAAATTCCGAATATAGACTTCAGTCTTGGCTAGTGGTGCATATCAGAATATTAAATTATATGAAGCGATTTTAATGTTCCGTATTCTGTCAGTATTTTTACATTAGAAAAATGTGTATTGCATTACTTGATCAAGAAATCAAATTTGAAAAAGTGAAAGTTCATCGCTGACTTGTTATAACGACTAAAATATTCGAGATTCACACAACTTAGATGATAAAAAGCGACAATTTTGAAATAAATTATAATGCATGACATCACTAAATTGTATGATTTATTTAATCGGTATAACATAAAGAATTTAATAGTTTGATTAATTATCTTTTTTGATGTCAAAATAAGTAATTGAATTGGACTTTATGTATAAATAATGTACTATCGAAATTTTAAGTTAACCACATGCTGAGTGATGAAGTCAGTTGATTCACCTTGAATGAAAAAGTGCAAATAAGTAATTTATTAAGAAGAAGGATAAGAAAAATAATGTTGCAGGATAGTTCACTGGCATTTTCTGCAGCTAAAAGTTCAAGTATAATTTACAATCATTTAAACAAATTATAAATGATAAGTTTTCAAAACAATTTAAAAGTTGCACATAATACAGAAACAAATAAATGCTAACGATGAATTTCGGCATTTAAATTTATTCCGTGATGTTAGAGATGGTTTCATACCTAAGTGGTTTCAGTACGAAAGAGTTTTTAGTCATTAATTATCTGTCAACTGCTTCTTAGAATAAAATGAATAAACTAGTTGTTATAAAATAAATGTATCTATAGTGAGTCCACTATCGATCAATATAGTGATAAGCAGACAGATCTACACAAAATAGTGCAAGTATGCACTACGATGTGCCTGATGAAGTCCCTGTGCACATCAACTAATTAAAATAATCAATAAAACAAAAACACTATGCTTAAACATACAAAGAGCCGAGTGTGTTTAAACTTTTCAAGAGTCTAATAAGCATACAGATTGCATGTAGGTACACTAATATGAACAGCGTTGATCTTTGTCGTCTGGGATCTTCAACTCCTTATTACTAACAACTCGAAACCACAGCTAATTCTTCTGGAGCGATGCATGACAGAAGTTCTAGTTAGTGCAAATTCTTAATGTCGGCAGTCAATTTGTTCTCTTTACCTTAAACTTCATACATAGTTAAAATAATTCTCATCTAGTTGAGCAGTGCATCGGAGATATCTGAGCAACAAATATTTTTAACTACAATATAAGTTAATTATCTCAGAAAATTACCTTGACAGACTTGAATAAAGTCTATTGATAACTTTTTGAATATCTTTGTGAATAAAGTTCATATTGATAAAATGGATTACGCGGACAATGTTCAGTGAAAATTCCTCTTAGTCTATGCAGCAGTACAATTAACCGTCAATTATTATTTAAAACAATTAACTTTGTTCAATAAAATGAAATATATATACATATACATATATATATATATATAATGTTTATTTTCGTTCAATAATTAGGAAGTGATTGAAATAGTTTTGAAAACAATCAGTAAACATGAAGGAATAATGCTACAAATTATTTGAAATATATCTAAGACTGCAGTGATCATTTGGATAACTACTTCACTGCAAAGATGGTTGATCCAGAGATGTAAAAAAAAATCAATATTTGGTCTGCCATATACAATGCATACACACTAGGCTACACATCACATGCATACACCATAAGTCATACGATGATAAATGTGAAATGAATGATTTGATATGTCAGTTATCTTTTCCAGCAGAAATTACATTTATTCATATATATGTATTTTATTTAAAAGAATGTGATTTATATGAAGTGAAAGCCAAATATACTATTCCAAATGAAATAGTTATAAAATAATATTTTTTTTTAAAAAAAAAAAGAATGAGTACTTGAATTGGTTTGATAATGATTAAGCTGTCAATGAAACTTCAGTTAAAAGATAATAGTTTAGTTAAATAATTGAAATAAATGAAGTGTTTTGTTGCAGTAAGAAAAAAAATTATCAAAATGTTTTCAACGCATTAAAAAACAATTTCGCATAAATTTATAGAAAAAAACTTAATTTGTATTGTAGCTTATAATGTGATTTCCATTTCAACAAGCTTTTACTACTTCATTTTTGTCTAGCATCGTTTCAAGAAATAAATGTATGATCCATACTGATCAAGGTAATTTGCGTAGAAATCGCACACACAATAACAGCATTCTTTTACTGCAAAACTATCGTTAATTAGATAATTAGGAGGCATTTAATGTATAGAAAGATGAAAGTAGGCTTCGTTAAGAAACTATAAATTCACTTACAACAGATGGCTAATCTGCTCTAGTTTTCACTAGATTTCAAGGTGATCCCATATTGTAATGAAAGTCGTCTTCAAATGAATCATTACGTTTATCAGTATGCTTAAAATAAACTTTGTAAACTAACTTTTGAGTAATTAGTTTAAATCTCCTCCAGATTCGATTTGTTGTTGCTTG